TGGTGGTGTATAAAACAGTACAACCATTTTGGAGAAAGGTCTGGAAGTTTTGGGGAACTTTGTTGTTGTTTGTTGGTGATGCTGAGGTTTGAATTCGAAGATAAGTACCACATAAGTCAAGCCTCCAGCCTTTCCTGCTTCCGTTTTCAAGTAGAACCTCAAGTTTTTGCCTGGGGCCAGAGCCAGATAGTAGTTCTCCTATCTAATCCTTTAGAATAGCTAGGGTTATAGGCATGCATACCAAGTTTGTTCTTTGAGATAGGGTATCATTAACCAAGGCCAGCCTCAACCCTTGGATCCTCCTCTGCCTCCTAAGTAGCAGGAGTAATAGAAGTGAGCTACTTTGCCCAGGAGAAGTAGGGGTGGGGGATTGTTTGTTTTTGTTTTTGTCAGGCTTGAACTCTGAGCCTGGCAGCTGTCCCTCAGTTCTTCAGCTCAAGGCAAACACTCTACCACTGAGCCACAGCACCATTTATTAGAGATAAGAGTCTCATGGCCTTTTCCTATCCAGGCTGGCTTTGTACCACAATCCTCAGATTTCAGCCTCCTGAGTAGCTAGGATTTCAGGCATGAGCCACTAGTGCCCGGCTTGTTTGTTTTTTAAAAGACAAAATTGTGAAACAATAAAACTCCTAGACATTTGCTCAGAAGAAAGAATATATCAGAATTATATAAAGATACAATTGGGGATGGTGCTGGTAGTTCACACCTGTAATCCTAGTGAATCAGGAGGCTGAGATCTGAGGTTTGAGGAACCAGCCAGGAAAGTCTAGGAGACTCTTATCTCTGATTAACCACCAGACAACCAGAAGTGGAGCTGTGGTTCAAAGTGGTAGAGTACTAGCCTTGAGCAGAAAAGTTCAGGATCAGTGTCCAGGCTCTGAGTAGGCCCCATGATCAACAAAAAAATAAAAAATAGTATAAAAATACTCTTGGGTGCTGGGAATGTGGCTAAGTGGCAGAGTACTTGCCTAGCATTCATGAAGTTCTGAGTTTGATTCCTCAGGACCACATAAACAGAAAAAGACGGAAGTGGCTCTGTGACTCAAGTGGTCAAATGCTAGCCTTGAGCAAAAGAAGCTCAGGGACAGTGCCGAGGCCCTGAGTTCAAGCCCCAAGACTGCCCCCACCCAAAAAACATACTTTTGGTAGCTTATTTGGAATACCCCAATTTAGAAATAGGCCTGCTCTGTCTCAGCTGAATAAATGAAATGTAGTACAAACCAAAGGATGCTATTAAGCAATTTAAGATCACTTAAGGAACTACTAACAAACGGAGCAAGGCAGAAATATTTCAGAACACACTATTCTGAGTCTGAAAGAAGTCTATGCAAAAGACAATGTAGTATTATGTTCAGTGAGGGAAGGTGTAGCTAGAAAGGGGTTATCTGCATTCCTATCATGTTTACACCTGGCTGATGCAGGTAATACATGCATTCATCAAAACTCAGTATGTGTACACTTAAAATCTGTGTAACTTATTGTATGCAAATTATACTTCAAATAAGTTGATTCTGTTAATGGTTATTATCTGGGTGTGGTGGCACATACCTATAATCCTACTCCAGAGGCTGCAGCTGAAAGATTTCGAGTTCCGGGCCAGCTGGGTTGACACAGATGAGTTCCAAGCCAGAATGGACCAATGTGGAGTAGTGACAGCCTGGCTTGGGGGAAACAAAAAAAGTCAAAAATGTTAACAGCAAAACTGTTAAAATTGACACATGAAATTGTGCTTAATAAGACTGTTTTAAAAATGAGGGCTGGGAAGGTGGCTCAGTGGTAGAGCACTTGCCTTGCATGCTCAAGGCCCTGGGTTTGATTCCTCAGCACCACATAGGTAAAAAGAAAAAAGCCGGAAGTGGCATTGTGGCTCAAGTGGTAGAGCGCTAGCTTTGAGCTGAAGAGCTGAGGGACAGTGCCCAGGCCCAGAGTTCAGGCCCCATGACCGGACCCAAAAAAAAAAAAAGACTGTTTTAAAAATGAGGATGAAACTGTACTTAATAAGGAAAATACATTTTTTTTGGTTGGTCACAGAGCTTGAACTCAAGGCCTGGCTGCTGTCCCTGAGCTTTATTGCTCAAAGCTGTGGCTCTACCACCTTGAGCTACAGCACCACTTCCTACATTTTAATTTGATCTAGATGAAGTATATGAAGCTTGCATTTACCCAGATGTTGAGGTTTGATTTTAACGGAAAGGCCTAACAACCTTACTTTACCCAAACCTCTCTCCTTTCTCACTTTCTACCCTGACATCATGCTTCATGTTCATTCTTAACCTTTTTTTTTCTAACCATAAGGACACATTTATTTCTTATCTCTTTTCCAGTAGAATGTAAGCTCCAAGGTAGCAGGCCTACTTCTTGGGTTCTGTATCTTCAGGACCTAACACAATGCCTGACTCATACTGGCACTCTGTCATCTGTTCAACAGGCAGATGAATGATCACCAAAAGTGAGACTTACAGTGGGTACATACTACAAAGCAGCATTGTTGAACACATCGCTAACATTCCTCTCAATTCCACTTCTAACATTCCTCTCAAAGAACTAGCAGTTTGAAATAGATTTCTCTCCCCACCATCTTTTTCTTTCTCTCCTCTCTCACTTTTTTATTTTAATGGAAAGGTGTCTGAACTAAAATGCACAGATGAATATCTAATGAGGGTTTTCTCTCTCCTATCATATTCCACTATTTGGTCTTATCCTTGAAAGGCTACAATTTCCACTAAAATCCATCCAAGCCACATATCTGAATTCTCTGTCTTTACTGGACTCCCTTAGCGGGACAGTGACTCATCTGATAAATCAGAATGGGATCTTCATTTGGGCGCATTTTTCTAAGGAACTCCTTCCTGCCAGCTTTTTTCTCTTTCTTCATCTCTCTATAGCATTTTCTTTTCTTTCTTTTGTTGTTGTTGTTTGAGACCTACCAGGTCTTGACTTCCTCAGTGCCACCTCTGATTGGCTGAGCTGTGTGATTCACATCTACAGGCCTTATTCATGCTTCATATTGAGTAAGGAGTCAAATAACCTGGGCGACAAATCCAAGCCAAGTCTCTGCTGACAGCCTAAGGAGATTCAGGATGGAAATTTCAGGCCAAACCCTTATTTCCCTAGTATAATTTTTACCCCTAAGAACCTTGAAGTGAGGTTTATAGGATATTTGCCAAAATTAATAAAGTTTGAACCAGTGTCCCATTTAGACAGTAATCATTGGGTAGATTCTATGCCAGTCAAATCAAAAGAAGGATTCTTAACTCCTACCTCAATAAAAACACAAAAGAAAAAAATATATAATAGTCGATTGGTGATACATAACTTATTTTAATGAATTTGCCATTAACACAATAAAACAAGATTTCTACCATTCCAACAATAAATTCAAATTCCAAAACAGACAATAACATGTAAGTTTTAAATAGATTTTAACTAGAATATCAAATATAATACAGAATTAAACAATGCTTTGTCACAATATTTAAAATAAACTTTTTAGTATTCCAGGTTATCAAAAGTGCTCCCCCCAAAAGTGATAGTATCTGCTGGTGTTTATGTGTTTGAAATAAAAAAGCCAACAACTCTTGATATGAATGCAATTTGAGTGCTTCTAAGCCATCCTACAATACCTGATACAGGCAGAAGGTTCATGGTCTTGGTGTAAGAAATCATATTACAGAGTTTCAATTAGACTTCTAGACCCCATACAATAAAACAAGAAAGCCTGCCAGCATTTAGTGTCTTTTCTTGTTTTATTGTTAGTTTGGCAATAAGAGATCAGATATAATGTCTTCATTCAAATAGACGACTATATAAGGTTCTGTTTCTGTTTCTGTTAGCTGGTACCAACAAATGCACAAGAACAATTCTCATTAGAGCTGAGCATTTACACATGAAAGTAATTAGTTTTCATTTAAAATAAAATTCATATGTGTATATGCAAATTAAGATAAAACATAACCATATACAAACTACAAAGAGACATTAAAACTGAAAAGGCAGCCACTAGAAAGGAGACATAAAAAGAAAAAATTCTAGTGGATATAATTTTTGTTCAATCATTAAGCTAGCTGCCACCAACTGAAGCTGGAAAGAGCATGTGCAATGCAGAGAAGAATGTTTCCTACAGCTGAAACAGATGTGTTTTAGAAAAAATAATAAAACTAAGCTCAAAATGAAAGTTTTAAATATAGGATTCATATTTTTTAAAAATTACAACTGTAACCTGGTACAGTGCCCACGCCTGTCATTCTAGCACTCAGGAGGCTGGAGTGAGAGGATGGCAAGTTTGAGGTCCCTGGGACACACACACACACACACACACACAACACACACACACACACACACAACTGCACCCTGGATTTTCTTTTCAGAAAAAAATGTTTTTAAACAAAGGCATGAAATAGACTATAGATTGGGACTTGTACTAATATTGTGATCTCACCTAAAAACATTAGAGATATAAAATTAAATTTCAAGTATATTTCCATTTACTGTGGGCAAAATTGTAATACTTACCAAATATAAGATTGAAAATTATTTTCATTTATATTATAAAGCACTGTAGGGACAGTTAGCTGTTTTTAATGTTCAAAACTAGATAGGAATTTATTCTAATTACAAGGAACCATAATGGTGACGTGAAGTGTTTAATTCTGATGAACTAAAGCTCAATTCAAATCAAATTTTAAAAATGTAAAAATATCTAAGTTTTGAAAAGATTGAAAAGTCTGTAATTTTTACAATAGGTTTTTTTTTCTAACATTTGAAAAGTTACCTATCTTTTATAAATATAAACCTATTCAAAGAAACAAGAGAATATCTTTTATATCAAAAAAAATAAATTTACATGATACACTCATTCTAACACTCAGGAGTTACAATCGTGAAAGTGGTAGTCTCCCTGAAACAAAGAATTCCTTCCCTTTGTCACCTCCACACCTTGTAAAATCTTTATTTCACATCATTTACATAGAATATCAAAATCTGATAGGTAGATGAGATTTTTTTTTTGCCTTTTAGAGCAGCTCATCAGGTAAATTTATTCAGTCTTCTTAGTGTTTTTCTTTTTAATATTTTCCACCACATCCTCTGGTATTGGCTTTGAGGTAGATGAACCAGTGCCATTGAAAGATGCTTTCGTTTCACTTTTCTTTCTACACAATGAAAACTGCTGCTGCCAGCCAAACAGCATCCGACTCAATACATCTTCTAAAGGAGCAAGTGTCATGGAAGAAGTCTCTGTAACCATCATGGTTATCTAGAAAAAGAAATCACTTTTAAATTTAAGTATAAGTGCTGTTTCTCAAGACAGAAAGAAAAGGAAAGGATTAAAAATGTATTCTGAATTTAATGTGCATAAGCAAACAATGCCAGATTCTAGAAAATTTTCCATGAAAAACAACATAACCAGGAAAATTATACAAGACACCACATTTTAGGAGTATGAAGCAGCAAAACCACTTCCACACAAGTAACATTCAAAGGAAATTAGAATATCATCTACAGTCCATACCAATAACCAATAGAGCTATAATTACTACAATCCTAACAAATACCAAAACTGTGGTAAGTACTTTATACTATTCCTCTCTCTCTACACAGTTACTACTATGTTATTATCCTCATCATATGGATTTAGAATCAAAGCTCTGAAAGTTACCTCACTTTCCCCAAGGAGTAAAGCAACATACAATACTCAGATTCTGCGGTTAATTAGTAAGTACACTATCCATATCAAAAGTCAGAGACTTACAATGAATTAAAGAATATTGCTCCTAAGCATGACCTAGAAAGCTTCAACCACCCAATTTATGTATGTGTATATGATAGAGATAGAGAAACAGAGATAGATATAATCGAGTTATAAAGACAGAGACAGAGATAAATAGAGATTTGATAGATATGGAATCATAAGAAAGAGTAGAGAGGGTTTCCAGTTCTTTATCTGGCAAAGCTTGGTGTACAGAAATGTTTAGACTTGCTCATGAAATAGACTGGTGTCAAAATGGACCTTGAGGAGAATTTTAAGTTCTAGAGTAGTTCTCAAAAAGTCCAGGAATTTCTAAAAATCAATTTCTCTGCAGCACAGAAACTAATCACATGGAAAAAATTTAATCCAGAAAAGACACCTATACAATCCAGTTGCTTGGATAAAAATGTAATCAAGAAAAGATTCTTATTAAATGCAACACAATCCAGGGATTGAAAAGTTTAGCAATAATAGATGTCCATCACAAGAGGAATAGATAAGGGAAATGCATATTATTCAAGTTAAAAATCTTACAAAACATCAGAACATGATCTGTTTCATTTTCACTTATGTAAATCCAAACACCATTGTAGACCAAATGCCTCTGAAATGTAAATTTTGAAATAGCTAATCTTGTTATGAGAATTTGACACCAATAAAAATAAAAATCTAGGTTGATGGTAGTGACACAATCTGTAATCTCAGCAAATGAAAGGCAGAGATCGGAGGATCATAGTTTGAGGCCAGCCAGGGCAAAATGTTAGGTAAGATTCTTATCTCAAAAAACAAGCCAGGTACAGTAATACATATTTATAATCCCAACTATGCAGGAATTAGAGGTAGGAGGATAATGGTCTGAGGATAACTGAGCGGAAACTACAAGAGCCTATCTGAATGATAAACTAAAGTAAAAAGGGACAGGGATGTGACCTAAGTGGTAGGCAGCTTGCCTAATAAACACAGACCTGAATTCAAACCTCATTATTGCTAAATAAACAAAAACACTTTAAAAAATACTTACAAAGAACCTTCAAGTCAGCTATGACTTGTATCTCAAACAAAATCAGAAATGTATTTCAAAAATACTAAAAATCCCTGGAGAGCAATAGTACAGGCAGAACCTGATGGTGCTATGTCCCTAAGAGAAAGGAGGTTGAATACATGGAGCTTCACATTCACCATGGCTGGCTTTTCAAGGATATGTGGCACTTTGCAGTCTCAAGAGGAAAAGGAGACAAGCCAGAGTCTAAGAAAGCCAACCTATCTAGTACCTGAGGGCAAGTCAGACCAAAAGAACCTTGTGGCAGTGAAACCAAAATGCCTACGTACTCTGTTCTAAGATTTATTAATTCCTAAACTGAACGCACATAAAAAGAAAGAGAATTCAAAAGCCTGCAGAGAGCACAGAGGAGAGGCCAACAACTGGGCAGACATTTCAGGGGTGCTTGGAGCTAGAAGATAGGTTGGGGGCTGAGGTAACTTGAGATACACATCTCAGACTTAAATAGGTACTCTGAAAGGGTTACATTCTGGACAGATAAACCTGAAAGAGAATTAATGTCTGAAATCAAGAACCGATGGGATTAAAATAATCGATGCATTACACCCACCTGTCAGAATGCTAAATGTATCCTTGCCAGCAGGGACTTTACAGGTTAGGCATTAACAAGCAAGTAAATTGGTAATTAGAAAACAGTAACAGATACTAGCATTAATAAAGGTCTAGCCACTATCACACAAGCAAAAGGTTGTCATGTCTTTGAATGTAGTTACTTGGAATAAAATTATAGAGGAGTTTAAATAGAATATCATCATCCAAGTTTATTCCAATAGTGAGCAAGATTTATAAATTTTCTTATATAACAGTGTTCTTTATAGACTAGTTAGTATGAGATATACTACCATAATTCTCTTGGTCATAGCTTTGCTTAATGGCCAGCTGATAAAAGGTACAAGAACTCAGATAAAAAGCAATGGTCTATAGTTAGGAAAATAGAAATATCTTTTTACAAAATCCAAAAGAGAATTATGTCACAACTTAAAGCATTTTTTAAGAACAAGAACTAATAATATTTTTCAAAGTCAAGTGTTTTAATAGAATCTCCCCTCCCTACAGACTCATTGCTCTACTGAGAAGTATCACTAGCATTCGAAATTACTGCTGAGATGGTTCAAGGACAGACTGCTGTGAATTCCGCCTCTTACCAACTCTTGATTTATCAAGGTGACAAACATAATTTTTACAAATACAATGAAGCCTTACTCTTTTACAAATAAATTTTAATACTGTCTCCTTACATGGTACACTATTTAAAGGCATTTTACCTAAATTAAATAGTATCAGTCAAACACTCTTGCATTAAAAAAGAAAAAAAGAAAGTAGAAAGCTCTAACAATGATTTGGTTTCTCAATATATTCTAAAATATAAATAAAGTCAGACAAAGAAATTATTTAAAGCTCTATTATATTCTTTATATATTTCAAGCTATATCATTATAAAATGTCCAGAAAAAATACCTGACACAAAATATATCTTCTTTAAGAGCATAAACAGCAATACACATGTACTTTTATATCCTCTATGATGGCTAACTTTTAGAGTACAATAAAAACAAAACCTTGAGTTGGATGCGGGTGGCTCACGCCTGTAATCCTAGCCACTCAGGAAGCTGAGATCTGAGGATCAAGGTGAAAAGCCAGTCCAGCCAGGAAAGTCCACAAGACTCTTATCTCCAATTAACTAACGACCCCACAAAAAAAAAAAAAAAAAAAGGCCCAAAGTGTAGCTGTGGCTCAAGTGGTAGAGTACTAGCCTTGAGGGAAAAAAATAGAGCAAAAACGCTCAGGGGCAGTGCCCAGGCCCTGAATTCAGTACTACAAACAAACAAGCCATCATCAGGAAAAAAAAAAAAAACTATTTAAGATTATAACATATCCCTATGTTTATATGCTAAATATGTACATTGTAGAATACTGAACTATACATGTTTTAGTATATAATAAAACTTGACTAAAATTAAAAACATACACATACATACAAAAACAAGCTAGACTAAAAGTTCCAGGTAGATAATAATAATAGAAAAGACTGGCCACAGAGATGTCTTAATATAAAATCCTGAAATTTTAGAGCTTATAGAAACTCAGAAAACATGAGCCTCAAGAAACTCATTTTACAAATAAGGCAGACTCTAATCAACCATGGCTATCTCCAGTACTTTCTGGATTCTATACACTATCCGGCTACCCGCAAGTAGCCAAATCACCAAACAAGCTGTATCTTTTCATTTTAATTATAATAAAATAACTAATATACTTAGTGCTTGATCAATATGTAGGATTCTACCAAAGAGAAAAGGCGGTACAGAATTTGTAATACTCATCTATAGACCCTTTAAACTCTTACCTTGGTGGTCACAAGAAAGATGGTATAAAAGAACATAAGATTATGCTTTGATACTGCCAGATGCTTGGTGTGCTGGAATGTGAACATAACTGACCCCAGCAGGGTTACCTTGGATGGGCTGAAACAAAACACATTTCAAGTCAGCAAGTAATAAAAATGATCTGGCAGATACAAAATATAAATCACTGTTTAAGGAATGTTATTAAAGCAAGAATTTTATAATCCAAATTACATTTACTCACACAGTTATCAATTCTGTTACTTAGAACTAACATCCAGAGCTATTCCACAGTAAAGAATTACAAAATTAAACAAAGAAATGCTTTAAATTTTTGTACTTTGCTGAAAATTCTTTTTCCCAGAGTCTATAAAACATTAATTTGTTTTTATATTGTACTATTTCTTGTAGTTTTTTGTTGCTGTTTTTAAGCCAAATAATCTAGGAATAGCACTGTTTGCTAGACCTGGTATTTGCTCAGTACATGATGTTCAAATTTTCCTTTTTTTTTTTTTTGGTGTGTTTTTTGTGGGTGGGGGTGGTGTTTTATTTTTGTGGATCATGGGGCTTGAACTCTGGGCCCAGGCCCTGTCCGGTGCTCTTGAGCTCAAGGCAGGCACTCTACCACTTAAGCCACAGTACCACTTCCGGTTTTCTAGTGATTCACTGGAGATAAGAATCTCACGTACTTTTCTGCCCAGGCTGGCTTTCAACCTCAAGCCTCAGGTCTCAGCCTCCTGAGTAGCTAGGATTACAGGAATAAGCCACAGGTACCCGGCTTCCTTTCCTTTTTCAAGCATAAGATTTAAAAATTATCTATTTGTATCTTTTTCAAAGAGTGCTTTATAAAACAATAGTAAGCTATTAGTATAGTAACACAAAAACAAGCTTTATAAATATACTTGTAACTTTGGAAATGTCAAGTTATCCAAACACAAAGTGTGAAATTTTAGAAATTTTACAAATTCATATGCCCATGAATGACAAGCCATGTTTTCATACTGTAATACTTCTGAAACATATTTGACCATATAATACTTTCATTTAAAAAAGGACAAGAAGCAAAAAGCCAGAAGTGGAGCTGTGGCTAATGTGGTAGAGCACTAGCCTTAACAGCCCATGCCCTGAATTCAAGCCCCATACTGGCAGAGAAAAAAAAAAAGATTGGAACACTGAGTCATCCAGGCAGTGGCTCAAGGCTACAATCCTAGCTACTTGGGAGGCAAAGGTTGGGAAACTGCAGTTTGAGGTCAGTCAAGGCAAATAAACGTTTGTGAGATTCTATTTTGACCAATGGTTACTGTACATCTACCTTCTCAAGGTACATGGGAAGTATAATGGGTAGGTGCAGTCGTGCATGCTTGTCATCCCAGACACACGGGGAAATCAATCACAAATAGAAGGTTCACAGTCCTGGTCAGCTTGAGCATAAAACAATACCCTTTCTTGAAAATAACCAATGCAAAAAGGGGTTGGCAGAGTGATTTCAAACCTCATTCCTGTCAAAGATAAAATAAAATAAAGTAAAATAAAAAATGAATAAATAAATATTGCGTCTGAGGAAGAAAAATTGCATAGATAATAAATTGGGGCAGGGCATTGGAGAACAGATGGTATTTACAAAAAAAAAAATGTGTATATGTGCTGGTACTGCAGCTTCAACTCAGGGCCTGAGCTGGCCCTGAGCCTTTTTTTTTTTTTCCCTCAAGTTAGTGCTCTACTATTTGACCCACAGCTCCACTTCTGACTTTTTGGAAGTTTATTGGAGATAAGAGTCTCACAGACTTTCCTGCCCAGGCTGGCTTTGAACTGTGATCCTTAGATTTCAGCCTCCTGAGTAGCTAGGATTACAACCGTGAGCCACCAACACCCAACACAAAGAAATTTTAAAGTGTGAGATTGTTAAGGAAGATCAAATAGCATTAGAAAATCTAATACTTTTTAGTTTCCTGTGAAATAGAAAACAAGTTACTCCCAAAATACAATGACAGAACAAGCATTGGATACATTATAGATATTCAACTCCAAAAGGGAAAACAAGGAGGAAAGACACCATTGGTTTCAAGCCATTCTGAAATTCATCTGAGCAAGTTCCAATACTCCATGGCTTGAGACTCCATCCCATGTCTACCATGCTAACCTCCGTACTGGAGGCTCAGCCTTGGCACCTCTGACTCAAGCTGTAAACCAAGCTTCAGGTCTTTGACCCACAGTTCCCACCATGAAGGCATTATTCCTTTCCTTCAAAGGCAGCACACATTTTCAACTGAGCAGTTTTATCATCCTGTTTCTTATACACAGAATTTGGGCAGTCTGTCATCTTTCATTTTATCTTGTCCTTTCAGTCCAAGCTGGCAGCACTTCTGCTGATTTAACATTTCCAAACTCTTCTGGGTATCTTGGGATCTACGCCATTAGACAAGAAAATCCTCCACAGATCTTTCTTGAATAACTCATCTCTATTCCTGGCTTCTGCAATGTTAGTTGAATGGACCATGAATCACATACCTAATCTCTTCAACAGTAGCACAAGGTTGTACATATAACCTTCACTTCTCTCCAGAACAAACTTTCCTAAGAATAAATCTAATTATATCTTTTATAATTTGAATAATCTGAAACTATCCCAAATCAACCAAGTGTAGTTTTCTTTCTTTCTTTCTTTTTTTTTTTTTTTTGTCAGTCGTGGACCTGAACTCTGTCCCTGAGATCTTCAGCTCAAGGCTAGCGCTCCACCACTTGAGCCACAGCATCCACTTCTGGCTTTTTCTGCTTATGTGGTGCTGAGGAATCAAACCCAGGGCCTCATGCATATGAGGCAAGCACTCTACCACTGAGCTACCTTCCCAGCCCCTTCTTTCTTTCTTTCTGTATTTTTTTTAGCAGTTACTCCTTTAATTAAGCACTCTTCTCAAGCACTTTACTATATGCATCAAGAAAAACATGGGGGGGGGGCTGGGAAGCTGGCTCAGTGGTAGAGCACTTGCTTTGCATGCATGAAGGAGGCCCTGGGTTCGATTCCCCAGCACCACATAAGCAAAAAGAAAAAAGCCGGAAGTGGCGCTGTGGCTCAAGTGGTAGAACGCTAGCCTTGAGCTGAAGAACTGAGGGACAGCGCTCAGGCCCAGAGTTCAAGCCCCATGACCGGACCCAAAAAAAAAATCTCATTAGCAAAATACCCAAATTAACTGTTTACAAGTTATGCTTTCCATAAACCATAGAGAACAATTAGATTAGTTAATGCTACTTTACAACAAGGATTCTTTTTCCTCTAGTTTCCATGATCACTTTTCTCATTGCCTTTAAACCTGGCCAACACCATTAATATTCATTGGCCAACATTCTATTTTTGAGAAAACAGAGAATATACCAGGACATAGGTGCTTCTGTAAGTGGAGCTGTGGCTCAAGAGACAGAGTGGTAGCCTTGAGCAAAAAAAGCAGCATGTCAGTGGGCTAAGCCCGAGTTCAAGCTCCAGGATGGCACCCCTCCCTCTCCCCCCCCAAAAAAGCAAAGAAAAAACAAATAAGTAAAATCTAAGGATAAAATCCAGATAAAGATAGCATATGCCAACTTACTATGACATTTTTAGCCACTCATCACCTTCTGGCTTCCAATCTCCTTTTAACAATTGCTCCAAGTTTGTGATAATGGCACCACCTGCACCTAAAAATAAGAAGTTGAAACAAGAATATTTAGCTAGTCTTCTTAAGAAAATATTTGGGGGAAGCTATCATTGTACCATCTGACTTAAAATCTAAGAGAATTCCCAAAATAGAATCCTTGGAGGAAGAAAAGGTGCTTTATATACTTATAGCACTGAGACAACTGAAATTCTCTTTCACCCATTGGACGGCTACCTTTTTTTAAAACAAAAAAAAACTATAATCAAGGTCAAAATTGGATCTTTAGTCAGAGATATCACTAGAGGTAAAAATAATAAAAATAGCAAAAATAAAATCTTATACTTGATCACTTCCTTTCCTGATATGATCAGTTTTAGGAGCAGTATACTATAGCAAGAGGTTAAAGAAATCTGTTCAAGTCCCACATAAAATAGTAGAAGTCACTGATAGAATATGAACATGAAACAATGTTGTACCATTTTTTCCATGTCCAATAATTCACAGTAGAGAAAAAGAAATGCATTGTATATACACAAACCACATGTATACTTATATGAAGCTTTTTATTTGTGGTAAAATAATTAACTATAAATTCCTCAAGTTCAGGGGCTCCTAATATAATCAATCATAAAAATGAGTCAGACTCCAAATAATGGCTGATGAGGTACTAATGAGAAGCTTTGAATTAATTTTAATAGCCAACAACATAGTTTTTGCCTTCCAAAAAGCCATTATTAAAGTATGCAATCTCCATCACTATAATCATAATTATTCAGTAGTTATGGAACATCAATACAATACTTATGAATATATGCTATTAATATTACCTCGGGCCCATCCAATAACTATCATGATTATCCAACCATCTCTGTAATAGCTGTTAGCATGTGTGACTCCACCTACTATTTTCCAAGTTCTGGTCACTTCCTTCATTCCCGTAGCCAGGAGCTGAACAGGTAGGTATGAATAACCATGGGAAACTAGGTCACATGGGCAAAAAAAAGTAATATACCTGAAATTAAAATTTAATAGTTTAATATATGAATGGAATCAAAAGAATAAAAATAAACATCCAGCTCATAAATATTAACAACATAGCAATATCTAACAAATGGAATTATCCATATAAACTCATATTAGCTCAGAAGGTGAATTTAAGAAGAGCACAGATTGGGAACTATGCTGATTTTTTTAAATCATGTGAAAAAAACTATAAATATTATGATCAGAGACACCTAAATATTCAATGAGTATATGAAATATCACTTACTTCTTAATTTGTACCTATCCTATTTTGGAAGCTATTGTTTCAAAATCTACTAAATGTCTCTTAAAAATATTTCATCAGAGCTGGGAAAGTGGCTCAGTGGTAGAGTGCTTGCCTTGCACGCATGAGGCCCTGGGTTCGATTCCTCAGCACCACATAAGCAGAAAAAGCTGGAAGTGGTGCTGTGGCTCAAAGTGGTAGAATGCTAGCCTTGAGCCACAGAGCTGAGGGACAGCGCCCAGGCCCAGAGTTCAGGCCTCATGACCGGCAAAAAAAAAAAAAAGACCGTGAAATTTATGCAATCAATCATAATAAAAAATATTAATAAAAAAAATTTCATCATTTCCAAGGCTATGGTGTCCTCTAGCTACAAACTGTCATTGAATTAAGAAAAGAAGGCCTTGGAGCTGGGAAGATGGCTCAGTGGTAGAGTGCTTGCCTTGCATGCCTGAGGCCCTGGGTTTGATTCCTTAGCACCACATAAGCAAAAAGAAAAAAGCCGGAAGTGGCGCTGTGGCTCAAATGGTAGAGCGATAGCCTTGAGCTGAAGAGCTGAGGGACAGCGCCCAGGCCCAGAGTTCAGGCCCATGACCAGACCCAAAAAAAAAAAGAAAAGAAAAGAAAAGAAGGCCTCTGGTAATTCAGCAAGGGCTGCAGCACTAGCGTCGTTCCCTGTGTGCGTTGAAGGACACGAGCTTCAATCCATACAAAAGCAGAAGTCAGCCAAAGAAGCAGGTTTACGTGAAGAAAAAATATACTTTCATACAGCTGAAAAAATATAAAACTAGATATTTGCCAAAATATTGCTCCTGAGACATAATAAAAGATACAACGGTGTGATCAGCCTAAATCTTCTTTTCTTCTTCATCTCTACTTAATTTCTTCCTATTCCTCAAAGTGCTATCCATTGATTTTGGAAGTTTTATTTAATTTCAGCTCAGATTAATGCTGCTCTTATACAACTAAAACAATTACTTCCCAGACTTCAAAACAGCTCTCCATATATTTTTCTTTATAATGTAAAATAAAGACTATAATGCTCAAAATAAATTACAATAGTTCTCAAATGACAGGAGTCATTCATCTTAATACCCTCTACCCTAAAATGCAGCATGATGAAAAGTGGCTCTAAGTTATTTGTTAGCAGTCAAAGAATCAATTGATACAGAATTTGAAAGGAAATGTGGCAGGGACAAAACTTTTTGGTTCCCTTTTTCCTTATAGAAGATAACCTTGCACACTCCTTTTGAGATTAAAAGGCACGAATTCATCACAGGGTGAAATGAGGCAGGATAGATAGATAAGAAGACTAACAAATTATATTTTATGTTTTTGTTTTTTTGGGGGTCCGTCGTGGGGCCTGAACTCTAGGCCTGAGCGCTGTCCCTCAGCTCTTCAGCTCAAGGCTAGCGCTCTACCACTTGAGCCACAGCGCCACTTCCAGCTTTTTTTTTGCTTATGTGGTGCCGAGGAATCGAACCCAGGGCCTCAGGCATGCAAGGCAAGCGCTCTACCACTGAGCCAACTTCCCAGCCCCAGAAATTATATTTTTTTAACAAATATCAAAAGGGCCAGGAAGTAAACTGAAAAAGATGATAAACTCTCCCTCCCATCATACCTTTACCTTCTACCTCCTTCAATGTTCAGTTATAAGAAGACTAAAGAGGGACTATCTACATCTGCCTTTTCCTTGGAAATGATAAGTCTGGGAAGCATTCATAAATAAGACAGAAAGAATGAACTGCATACCTGGCAAAAGACATAAAAGTTACTGGGTTTTGGGTGGACCTTACCCATCTTACCTACTCAAAAACATGAGGATTAGGAATCACTAGACTGACCTAACTACAAGTTAGTTACTACTGTTTTGAGTCTCTAATTCCCATTTCCTGCACACAGGGTACAGGAAATGTTTTCTTCTTTTCTATTCCTGCTTACTGTAATCCTGTTATACCAAAACAAACCCTTGCTAAAACTTGAAAATGACCGTGATTTAAAATTTTTCATCTTCAGCTGAGATGGTGGCTCAGTGGTAGAGCGCTTGCCTTGCATGCATGAGGCTGGGTTCAATTCATCAGCACCACATAAGCAGAAAAAAAAAAGCCGGAAGTGGCGCTGTGGCTCAAGTGGTAGAGCGCTAGCCTTGCATGCATGAGGCACCACATAAGCAGAAAAAAAAAAGCCGGAAGTGGCGCTGTGGCTCAAGTGGTAGAGCGCTAGCCTTGAGCTGAAGAGCTGAGGGACAGCACCCAGGCCCAGAGTTCAGCCCCCACAACGGACAAAAAGTATAATAATAATAAAATTTTTCATCTTCATATAATACTTTGAAACTTTCTGTATACTATTCTCTTTAAATATAGAACTCCCAAAGAGTTGGATATGTGATAGAGGAAAAGAGTATAAATACACTTAAATAATAAACTTTACACATTTTAATAAAATAAAACTACTTGGATACATAGTATATAGATTAGATTAAGATGAATTGGATCTAGCCTGGTACTGGTGGCTCATACCAGTAATCAATCCTAGATACTCAGGAGGCTGAGATCAGAGTTCAAAGCCAGCCTGTACAAGAAAGTCCATGAGACTCTTATCTCCAACTAATTACCAAAAAGCCAGAAGCAGAGCTGTGACTCAAGTGGTAGAGCACTAACCTTGCGCATAAAAGCTCAGGAACAGCATCAAGGCCCTTAGCTCAAGTCCCAGACCCAATACAAAAAAAAAAATTTTTAAAGAGTTGTTTTTGCTTTAGCAAAACTTAATGCTCAAAAATAACATACTCCAAGGAATAAGAACAATATTACAAATGGACCCCATTTTCATCCCTTAAGCCTGGCTTTAGCATGAGTTAAAAACTTAAGATTATTGCAACAGCAGTTTTAGATGTTTATATATCCAGTTATATGGCATTATGGCATATGGTCTAAAATTTGTAATTACTACCACCTCTGAAGAAAGAATTGTTTAATCATATATTTCTAAAGTACATATAATAAGGAAATGTATTTTAAAAAACTATTCCTAGATCCTTTTCCAGCTCATAAGTATGATAATTAGGTTCTCACATGCTTACGTGACATGTACCTCCTTCAAAGCTTGTTACAATATAGGTATATTACCTGTCTGATGTGGGGGGGGGGGGGAAAAAATGTTTCCTATTTGAGTACTAAATAGCCACAGAGCAAAAGAACAACTGGTTACAATGATCACTAGACATATCAGACCAATGGCTCCCTAAACAACCATTTCTGGTCTGTTAAACATGATAATTAACTTTTTAAAATTCCTTTAGTGACTCCCTTATTATTCATTAGGTATTCACTATGTTGATACCTCTGTAAAAATAATTTTACCTATAATCTGGGTGCTGGTGGCTCCCTTTTGTAATGTGCTTTTAGGATCACAGTTCAAAGTCAGCCTGGTCCTAAAAGTCTGTGAAGTTCTTGCCTCCAATTTATTACCAAAAAGTCAGAGGTGGAATTGAAAAATCCAAGCAAGAGCTTGAGGCTGTGAGTTCAAGTTCCATAATAACAAAATAATAATAATAGTAGTAGTAGTAACAATAACAATTTCACCTTTAAGCTTATAACATCAAAGATCTTAAGCTTACAAAGCAGCTAAAGAAAAATACTAAGGAATGAAAAAGAAATGGAATGAGACAAGGAAATAGAATTCTCTTATACTTTTAGGTCACATGTGTTAGGTTAATAGAAAGAGGAAAAAGACATAAAAATCAATCCAAATAAAATAGAACACAGGGGCTGGGAAGGTGGCTCAGTGGTAGAGTGTTTGTCTTGCATGCATGAGGCCCTGGGTTCAATTCCTCAGCACCGCATAAGCAGAAAAAGCTGGAAGTGTCACTGTGGCTCAAGTGGTAGAGCGCTAACCTTGAACTGAAGAGCTGAGGGACAGCGCTCAGGCCCAGCGTTCAGGCCCCATGACTGACAAAAAAAAAAAAAAATCAATCCAGTAAAACAACACAAACAAGATCCTGGGCCACCAATGAATGGAAACCATAACTATTAGAAAAGATGGCAATAGCATCTGGGCTTTACTAAGCAGAGATAAGTTATCTTCTGTGAGCTGTTTGCCCTCTACTACATATTCTACTCTTCTTTCAAGAACATGGATAATCTGTAGTTCACATTTGTCTAATGATATCATATCATTGTCCTTCCTCTTATTACTCTAACAAATTAATAACGTCATGTATATGCTTTGGAAACAATTGACAGAATGGGCCCAGTGTGGTAGTCTATAATCCCAGAAATCCTGAGACTGAACAGGAGAACCATGCATTCAAAGGCAGCCAGGACTATACAGTGAGTTCAAGGCTGGCCTGAGCTATGTTACATAGAAAGATTGTCTCAAAAACAAACAAACAAGCTGGGCACTGATGGCTCACACCTGTAATCCTAGCTACTCAGGAGGCTGAGATCTGAGGATCATAATTCAAAACCAGCCTGAGACCCTTATCTCCAATTAACCACCAAGAAACAGAGTGGTGCTAGCGTGCTAGCCTTGAGCAAAAGAGCTCAGAGACAGCACCCAGGCCCCGAGTTCAAGCCCCACAACGGGAGCAGGGGAGGGGAGTACTGATGGAATGACATCTAACTATGTATTTTTCCTCATCTAAATGCACTCTCAGTTATACATACATCCAATATATTGTAAATTATACTGGAAATTTAAGAGACACATAATTGAGCATAAAAATCAATACCTAAAAAAAATACCTATTT